CTGAGACCAAGACGAAGAACAACCGTGCTGAAAAATTCTCCAAGCATTGCAAGTCTGCTAGATCAGCTCCCAAGCAAAACCTTCTCATCTCGGATCTCAGTTGGGGGTCATCTCTGAAAACCTCTTTGGTGATGGCATGTGCGCTCTCGCGGAGATCGTCCGTCATGCGCCTCCACTGTGCGGAGGCTCTGTGAGCGCAGCTCCTCGCTTGAACAGGATCCCAGTGTCCGAGACCGCAAAGCAGCAGTGGAAGTTGTTGCCATACTGACGTCTTGATGCCCAAGTGCATCAAGATGTGCGCTCTCCCCGCTTCGAAATCTTCCAAGATCTTCAGCTGCTGCTCCACGGACAGGAAGTAAATGCGTCGCATAATGCGACCACCTGCAGTGTCAAGAAGGAGTCGAGCAAATCTATCAAACTCACCAGTCGCCATCTCGACTCCCCGACGCGCATTCAGTGGACAGCTGCACCTAAGAATATCAGGGTTGCGAGAAGCGTCCACTTCGGGCCCTCCGAAAGAGTGCGGGTGAACGTTCCAATGGCACGGACAGGATTCCATCCATGAGATCATCCTCGCCGTGCAATCGGCGACCTCTTTTATCATGCGCAGGTGTTCCCAAAATGCAGTGCTCTTGATGGCGTCGTTGACCTCCCGTAGTCTGGTTGGGTATGCGTTCGGGTTGCGATGGCGAGCTGGCGGCCCTTGCTGAAGCAAGCGGTCAGCATCCCAGGCCCCTCGAAGAGGCACTTCCCTGTCAAGCAAAAGGCTCACCACTCGCGTCACTGAGCCCCAACGCCAACCAATCAAAGTAGCGTCGAAAGAATCGAAGAGCCAAGAAAAGCATTCGCATGCGCCCCCAGATATACACAAAGCTGAGAACTGATCCCTCGTCCATTTTTGATTCAAGAACTTGGCAACCGCGCTGATCTGATCATGCGTCTCGTCAAAGTTGCCCATGGCATACAGGCAACCCTTGGTGGCGTTATGTATGATGTGAATACCTCCAGGGATCTGGGGTGAACCTTGCAAGCCGAAAGGGAGATCAAGATCACTGTCCTCCTCGCCATCCACAATGCCCGGGTTGAAATATGGAAATACATTCTGAAATCGAACTGGAGGCGCTCCACATATACTCGCCTCAGTTCCTTGGTCCGTGGTGCAAGACACAACGCATGCACAGTGCCAGCGCAGACAAGACAACGACGACGTATTAAGAAATAGTTGGTGGTACAAGCAATGCATCTTGTGACCCAAACTCGCTCGCCTAGTTCCCAAGCCTGTTGGTACACAATACACTTTCTTGATCAACTTTCTCATGTCGCTCATGCGCTCAAGCTCAGCATCTGTCGCGACCACCTTGTCATTCCGCCGCATCCTGAAATGATCATCTAAACGGAACCGCAGAACCTACACATATTTTTCGGACTCGGACCCCGACCCCGGCCCCCAGATCCCCACGAACATGCCCTACGCATGCTGCAAACGTAAAGCCAAAACAGTGGACCCCAGGGCCATGGTCACGGCAATTGGTGGTTCCGACGATAGCCTTTTCAGAAGGATCAGTCCTGGTAAGGCTTTGGCAATACAACACGAACGATTTAGCATCCTTGGCAAACTGGCATAAGGTCGATCCAGCTATCAGGTCGTAGGAAGAGATCTGCCAATTGATACCTCCTTGTGGGGACGAATCGCTCATCAAGTATAAGCACGGTGATACCAACTCACCCCGCAGTGCATCCACTTCCTGCTGCTGCCAAACCATGAGGGACATATCAAAAGTAAACCTCATGTGTGATATAGTGCTCGGTCTTGGCATCTTCATGGTCCCGTCCGTCAGCACTTTGATGTAATACTGTGCAATGGATGGAGGCAACGTTGCACACACAGCGAGCTTCATGGCTTGCACCAGCTCGCTGTCATTCCGCAGCACGTTTGCGAACAACACAACCTTGATCAAAAAATCGAATGTGAAACGTTTGCCTCCGTTCGCTTTCGTCATTTGGTTCAGCCGTGTCACGTCCAAGCTATCTGCGATCTTCTCGGCAACTCCAATCCAGTGGTCGCAGAGTTCGGCGTGAGATTGACGATGCATCTCGTCGTCGAGCGGTTTGGCAATGGCAGCGTTCATCAAACGTATAGCGTCGGCCATGCTCCTGAAAGTCGAAGGGCAATACCACGAAAACGTGTCATCACCGTCTGTGACAGCGTCGTCTCTGGCTTGGTTCCGGCGTACCTGAGCCACTCCCTGGCACCGCCAACCTGAAAATTCTGAATCCTTGTCAAACTTGCATGTGTGCTTCACGCAAATCACGTTCCAATACTTCGCGGCAATCATTGCTCCAACTTGTGCGTGCAGCTGAATAGCTGATCGGGGAACCACATCGTCCGCGAATCCAGAGTCTAACAAGAAAGTTCGCACCTCTTGGTCCATCAGTTCGTCGACGAGAACATCTGCAAGCACAAAGATGGTACTGGTTGGGAACATATGCTTTCCTGTGTGATGAGCCTGCTCTGGCTGCTGCAGGGGCAGTGCCGAGTGGATGTCCCACAAGTTTGATGGCTCTCTCCCGGCGCACTCCCAGCTGTAACGGTCCTCGTCTGAGAGTTGCATCACACGTTCGATGGTATGACAACGTTTCGAAACCACCACGGAGGAACATTGTTCATATTCATGAGGGTGCGAAAATGCGCAGCTCCACCAACAGCATCGATATTCTGTTCTGCCTCAGTGAGGCCTGGAAGATCTCGAACTGAACGCGGATTCATTTGAGAACAAATCCAAATTGGTTGGCGAGTCATCATGAAGGACGCAATGACTCCAGTCAACAGCTGCATTATTAAGAACTTCATTGCGCCACAAACGGCTTCGGACAAAGCGGTGGGCAAACGGAGGAAGGAGGGATCAGCAACAGTACGAACAGTGAGGGCCCAATGAAGAGAATTCAGGACAACCTAGCAGATTCCAAGACGGCCTAAGACAGCCCGAAGACGGTCTGAGCAAAGACGCCCTGAAGACAACCCAAGACGGCATAAGACAGCCCAAAGTCGACAAGCCAAGACGGCATAAGACAGCATAAAACAACCCAAGACGGCATAAAACAACCCAAGACGGCATAAGACAGCCCACGGCGCACCGCTTGTGCAGCCAACAGACACCAAGGCAATACTTCCCCAATAACTCCTACGCCTATGTGATACAACCTGGTCGCACCACATCCTACAGCTTGTAAAGTATTATGGGCGAGCGCACATTCATGTGAGGGACCCCCTGCATGCCCCTATCTTCCTGCCTCCCCCATTCCCTATCCTCCTTGTTTTTAGAAGCGACGACGGCCGAAGACCGACGGCGACTGACGACGCGGCGGAGCGGCGGCCGTAATCGGGAACTACCGCAGGTATTGAGCAGTGGGGAAAAGGACAGGACGACGGGGAGGAATCCGCAACCCAGCCCAAAAGAGGACGAGGAAGAAGGCGAAGAGAGGCTAAGAGGAGGAAATTTGCGCATCTCTGCTCGATCCACTTTAACAAACTCTGGTGAGGCATGGGCTACGGCCCTGCGTGTCCATCGTCTTACTTACGACGGCGAGTATCGCCGATGACCCAAGGGGCTGCTTTAAGCTCACTCATCGTTTCGCTTTCCTGAAGTTGTTCTGAACAAGGACTTTAAGCTCACTCATCGTTTCGCTTTCCTGAAGTTGTTCTGAACAAGGAAAGCAGGCCCACGCGGGAAACTACCTACTCCTGCGGATGCCTTCGCCAGAACGATGGGGGGCGACGAAGCCAGAGTTGAGGGGCCACTTAGCCGGACTGGGCTGGACTCGGCCCGAGACTAGGCCGGAGTGCGCGGGAGCAGACGGGAGCCAGCCAGAGTAAGCAGGACCAGGTCGGATCATGCCAGTTTGCAACCAGGGATGTGCCAGCGCCGATTCAGGATGTAACCTCCCAGGAGTTGCATCCGAAAGGAGCCCAGGGTCTGGAGGCTGGTGGAACACCAACGGAGGCTTGACCACGGACATCACAGCAACCCTCGTCAGATTAGGAATCCGCCATGGTCTGAAGCCTCTCAGGCACACTCCGTAACCAATGCCCCCGCCGTAGCTGCAGGTTTGTTTGGGAGGGAGCGACGAAGCGAGGGGATGGAGGGGCTCTTGGAAGTTTCTGGGGTCGGCGGGGGCACCTGCAGGCGAGAAGGAGGAGGAGGAGGAGGAGGAGGAGGACGGGGAGGAGGAGGAGGAGGAGGAGGAGGAGGAGGAGGAGGAGGAGGAGGAGGAGGAGGAGGAGGAGGAGCAGGAGGAGAAGGAAGGGCCCCGTCTCGAGGGCCGCCATGCTCGCCTCTCCTGCTGCGCCCCGGAGGTTTGACGGGGAACCCACCCGAGCCCGGCAGAGAAGGGGGAGTGGAAGGGCGAGGGATAGGGAGGGGGAGTGGAAGGGCGAGGGATAGGGATAGGGATAGGGATAGGGAGAAGGGCGAGGGATAGGGAGGGGGAGTGGAAGGGCGAGGGATAGGGAGGGGGACGGAAGGGCGGGACGGCAGGAAGCGGGAGGTGGGGGGGCGGGGCAGGCAGAGCTCGGGGGAGAGAGAGAGAGAGAGAGAGAGAGAGGCAGCGACAGAGAGGGACGGGGAGAGGGAGAGGAGACCAAAAGAGCAAGGAGGGAGAAAGAGAGAGAGAGAGAGAAGAGAAAAAAAAGAGATAGAGAAAGAAAGAGAGCAGCGATAGTACGAATACGAATGCGGATGGGAGAGAGAGAGAGAGGGAGAACAACAATAATGGTAGAGAGAGAGAGAGAAAGAGAGAGAGAGAGAGAGAGAAACAGAGAGAGAGAGAGAGAACGAGAGAACTGTATATGTGGAGAGAGAGAGAGAGAGAGACCACAAACATAAAAGAAATGAAGCCATAACAAAAAACAGGAAGAGATGAAGCGAGAGAGAGAGAGAGAGTGAAAAGGAGAGAGAGAGAGAGAGAACAAAAAAAAGGAGGGGGGGGGCTCGGTCGGGAGGTCCTTCCCCTCCTCCTGGCGCTCACGCGCCCTTTCCGCTCTCCCTGCAGTCCCGCGCGGCCGCGGATGCAGCGGGCGCGCGCGGGGCCCGTTCGGCCCCGTGAACGCGCCCTGTGGGGGGGGGGGGGCCCGCCGCGCGCAGGGCCCTCCTGGCTCTCAAGGCTTCACTCGGGGAACAGCAAGTGGCATAAACATAAAAACTCGGAGGTCCGCGCGGATTTCTCGGATCGGCGCTGGGGACCCCCTGGCGGCGCCTCCGGCGCCGCCCCTGGCGCGCTCCGCGCGCCAGGGAGGGGGGCCCAGCGCCGATCCGAGAAATCCGCGCGGACCTCCGAGTTTTTATGTTCATGTGACTTGCTGTTCCCCTATTCACCACCCCCTGAGATCCTGGCGTCTCAACCTGTTCGAACAGGGCGTCTTCTCGCCTGTGCTCGGGCCCCGGGAGCCTCACGGACCGATCCGGCCCGAAAGATGGCGCAGGAAGGTGTGGTCTGGGGCTCGGGGCGCGATGTTGTACGACGTTGCAACTTTTTCGCTGCGTGGGTTCTCAGGGGCTAGAGCTAGACAAGCGCTTTCCACTACTTGCAGAACAGGCACACTGGCAAATGGCCTGGCTTCGCAGCGGGGGATCTACGGAAAATTACGTCGAGACAACTCTGTGTAGGCAACTGTGTGTTCTTTCCGACGTTTGCGAATAGGCACACTGCGAGTGGTGGAACGCGCTCGGTGAACAATAAAAAAACACTCGGGAGCGGCCAAGAGGGGGATGGTGCAAATCATGACCGGCGGCATGTGCGCGGCCCAGCGGGGGGGCCAGGGACGTAAGGAAGTAAGAAGAGGCGCCATGAACTCTGGGGAAATATCATGGCCCACGCCATGACATGATATCCCCCCCCCTAGTCATCACCCCCCTCTTTGCCGCCCCCGAAGCACGCGGGGCACCCGGCATGGCCGGGGCGCAGGCCGCTACAGGTCCACGGAGACGTGGAAGTCCAGGATCCGGGCCTCCTGCAGGAGAGGGGGCACGCCCCGGAGCCTGTGCACATCTCCTTGTGCGGCGTTTCGGCACTGGGCGGAAGGGGCTACACGTAAGAGTGACCCTGGGTAAGAGTGACCTTTGGTGCGCGGCTTTCGGGGGGCCGCGGGGGGGGGCCAAACGCGAGCGCGCAGGGCGCCACTGCCGCCTCGCGTTCGGCGATCGGGGACCCCCATGGGCACGCACCAAAGGTCACTCCGGCGAAGGGTCACTCTTACGTGTAGTCGAGGAAGGGGGGGGGGAGGGTCTGGCTCCAGACCTCTGCTCATTGCGACTGGTTGCAACAGTGCGTCCTCTAGGGGAGACCCCACGTGCTCGAAACAGGCGCCCAAAACAAGCAAGATCTGCAAGGGCCAGCGCCGATCGGCAAAACAATGCATAAGAAAGCGATCACCTTCCAAAGGGCTGCTTGAATGGCCCTCCAGAGACCTCGACTCTATAGACTGCTTTGGACTGCTGGGAACAGCGACTTGGACTTAGAGGTCGAGGGGTCCTGGTGCTATTTTTGAGCAGGGACCGACCGTCCCAGCATTCCTAATAGTCCTACCACCAAATGTTCTTAGAACCCAAAAAAGGTTCAAATGCCAAGAACCATTTTCTTAGGACATCAACCCGACGTGCTAAAACAAGACAGTCCCAGCCAGAAATGTTCTAAGATTTGGACGCCCGAAATGGGTACCGAAAGAATGGGTATTTCGCCCATCAACAAATGTTGTCCCAAACCAACAGCGGCCGCTGTTGGGCGGGCGGCCTCCTGTCTCGAATGGACACAGGCCGCGGCGGCGCGGACAGCGAGTCCTGTTCAGAATGAACAGGAACTGCTGTTGGGCATAGTACCCATTCTTTCAGTACCCATTTCGGGAGTCCAGATAAGAACACTTCGTGCAAGCCACAAACGGCTCCTGGTACATTCTTTGGTGGGGCTATAGGCGAACCAGGACGCTTCGCCACTGCTTGATTGAAGGGGCCCTAGGACACACAAATAAATACACACAGATAACAGGATTCACCATATTTTCCCATGTCTCTTCGTTTTTGTCTTCCCCCCCACTTTCTGTATTTTCCAATATTTTCCTGGGAATCCACGATTAATTGTGTCTGTGTGTTTCTTTTCCTCCTGATTGATATTCGCTGGCCCTCCCGAAGGTCGGGGACGCCCGCCGCCCACGGCACGCCGGCCTCGCCCGCGGCCGCTCTCCAGGGCCCGGGGGCCTGTCGATAGTGATCCGCCCCTCTGTTGTGGATGCCACGACAATGGGCACCCGAACAGCCCGATCGATGAATTTAAAAATGTGTTTCGAATGTAGGAAACGTGTTCTAAACATTAGGAGGAAAGAGAACTATGCACATACACCGATTCTGGCCAGGCTCATCCTGAGCCCAGGATCGGTGCATACGCCCTCCCGCCTTGGCCAGGAAGGCATGTGCACCGATCCTTGGTCTAGGATGGGCCTTGCCAGGATCGGTGCATGTGCATAGTTCTCTTCGCCCGAAACATGTTTAAAACATGTTGCTTACATGCTTAAAACATGTTTCAGGCATGCCTCAGACAGCCGAAAATTGTTTGGCGACGCGCTTCCTCTGTATGGATCGTCCTCCACAGCCTTTCTGTGGCCCTGCCAGGCCCTCTGGGAGTAGGTGGTTTAGGGAGTTTCCTCTTCAAACCTCCCTTCGTCCCCTTCGGGGAAGGGCTTTACATTGTTCCCTATTCATATAAAATATACACTCCCCCCCAGGCGACTGGTAGCCAACCCGAGTCAATGAGGGCACCCCCCAACCATCCCTAGTAAAAAACAATACAACACACACTCTGCCTCCAAATTCTGAGCATGCGCAGCGAACCCGATGTGGCCTCCCCCCACCATCCCTGCCAAAAAACAATACAAAGTACACTTGGCGGCGGCGGCTGCGGCGGCTGCGGCGGGGGCAGCGGCTGCGGCGGCTGCGGCGGTGGCGGCGGCGGTGGCGGCGGCGGCGGCGGGGGCGGCGGCGGCGGCGGCGGCGGCGGCGGCGGTGCGGCGGCGGCGGCGGCGCGGGCGGCGGGACAGCGGCGGATAGCGGCGGCGGCGACGGCTGGCGGCGGCGGAAAGCGGCGGCGGCGGCGGGCGGCGGCGGCGGCGGCGGAGGCGGCGGCGGCGGCGGCGGCGGCGGATTGGCCCCCAGTAGCTGCCCATCCAAAGACGACTGCTGAATATGCTGCGGCTCGGGCCAGGCTCGGGTGTTACGTATGTGTTGGGCGGGCGGGTGGGAGTGAGCGAGACGGCTTGCGGGCGGGGAGGGCGTCTTGACCCACCCCTCCCCCTACCGCCTCCCCTGGACCTGGACGGGGGGGTTCGCGACGCGTTGGAGCGTCCAAAACGGCCTCGGCGAGGAAGCCAAAATCATTGGCTTTACTAGGGTTTGGGCCCCACTTTGGCCTCCTGAGGGGGGGAGGCTAATGCAGACCCCCCTCCTGTGATCGATCTCCTCCAAGATGGCCCCAAGAGGCGCCCAGGAGGCCGGCCCAAGATGCCCCGAGATGGCCCCAAGATGGCCCCATGTGGCCCCAAGAAGCCCCGAAGAGGCCCCCAGGAGGCCCCCAAGAGGCTCCCCAGAGGCCCCCCAGAGGCCCCAAGAAGCCACCCAGAGGCACCCAAGACGCTCCAAGAGGCCTCGACGAGAATGCCAAAATCATTGATTTGACTTAGGTTTTGGCCACATCTTGGCCTCCTGGGGGGGGGCACTGCTTCAGATGACTCCGAGAGCGCCTGGGAGAGCCCAAGATGACCTCCAAGATGGCTCAAGATATCCCAAGATGCCTCAAGATGGCCCCCACGATGTTCCAAGACAGCCCAAGACCGCTCCAAGACGGCTCCAAGTGGCCAAAGAGCTCCCCCAGGAGGCCCCGAAGAGGCCAAAATCCTTCCAAAACCATGGGAAAATCAATGTTTGTGGCTTTCTCGCCTGTTCGCTTCCGATCGCCATCCGAGGCTTCAAGATGGCTCCAAGAAGGCCCAAGACGGCCCCACGAGCGCTCCAAAGGATCCCAAGAGCGCTTCAAGAGGGCCCCAAGAGGCGCCCAGGAGGCCCCAACAGGCGCCCAAGAGGCCTCCAATAGGCTCCCAAGAGACCCCCAAGAGGCCCCAAGCAGCTCTCCGAGGCACCCAAGACGCTCCAAGAGGCGTCTGGGACCGCCAACAGGCCCCCAAGAAGCTCCAAGAGGCCTCCATTGGGGGACCCTTCCTCTGCGTGCTGCCCACTTCCCTTATCGAGGCAATTCTTCTGGGCATCGTTTCTGGATGGGCTGAACGGTTACGCGAAGCGTCTAGAATTGTGTTTGCGTGTTTTTTCCCTCCTGACACTGGCGGCGCGCACAAGGGGGAGAGGGGATAAGTTTCTTGGAACGAGGCTGGTTCCTAGAAGGCGCCGGCCCCGTATCTATAGAAAGGGCCCGCGCCTTCTGAAAAGCAGGGGTGCTTCTAAGAAGCCTTCCCCTCTCCCCCATACCCCAGTCTGCGCGTCGCCGATCCACCGAGCGGCGGGGCACCCGAGACTCATCCCAGAGGAAGAGAAAACGGCATAAACATAACCTCCCGACGGTCCGCACGGATTTCTGGGGTCTGCGCCGGACCCCCGTCGAACATGTATGTTTATGCCGTGCGCTCTTCTTCGACAGCTGAGCGAGAACAAGGAACGGGCCTTGCACGAGATGGCACAGCGACCTCACGCGGCGGCTTGCGCGGGCCGCTCGCGCGGCGCGCCACACTGCAGACGAGGGCGCTCACGCGAGACCTTTCGCAGGCAGCCTGCGCGCCAATGTCGGCGCAGACGGCCCCGACATTCTGGGTCGCTCGGCTTTGAGCAGGGACCGACCGTCTTAGAAGCCAAGAATGTTCTGAGAACAGGAGCAAAATGTCCTCAGAACGTAGGCCCGATGTGTTAAAAAAGAGACCGTCTCAGCCATGCATGTTCCAAGGACATGTCGTGCAGACCGCAATCGGTTGTTGGGACATTCTTCGGTGGGCCTACAGGCCAGCCAGGACGCCTCGCCAGGAGGAGGAAGAGGCGTATAGGAGGAGGAGGAGGAGGAGGAGGAGGAGGAGGAGGAGGAGGAGGAGGAGGAGGAGGAGGCGGAGGAGGAGGGGAGAAGGAGGAGGGAAGGAGGAGGAGGGAGGGAGGAGGAGGAGAGGAGGAGGGAGGAGGAGGAGGAGGGAGGGAGGAGGAGGAGGAGGGAGGGAGGAGGAGGAGAGGAGGAGGGAGGAGGAGGGAGGAGGGAGGAGGGAGAGGGAGGGAGGGAGGAGGAGGAGGAGGAGGAGGAGGAGGAGAGGAGGAGGAGGAGGGAGGAGAGAGGAGGAGGGGAGAAGGAGGAGGAGGGGGAAGGAAGGGAGGAGGAGGAGGAGGGAGGAGGAGGCGAGGAGGGAGGAGCGAGGATCCTGCCCCTCGGCGGTGAGGCACACCGCCGGCAGCCAGGGCGGCCCCTCGGCCAGCAGCATGGGCGCGGCCACCACCGCGGGCGCGGCGGAGCGCCCGCTCCCCACGGAGATGGCCAGGCTGCCCGCGCCCGGGCGCAGGTCCACCTCCCAGGAGCGGCGAGCAGACCCTCGTCGGGTCGGAAGAGGTGGGCGGGAACTTCTTATGTTTGTTTGTTCTGCGTCGGCGGCTGGGCAGAGCAACTGCGCCGGCGGAAGAGCTCACTGAGCGGGTGCACCACTGCAGCGGATCGAGCCACAGTGCAGGAGTGGCAGGGAAGAAGAGCGGGTCGGAACACGAAGCAGGAAGGCGCTGGAAGCAGATCGGGCTCTCGCCCGCCCCTGAAGTGGATTGGGATCCGAAGATCCCCAAAACATGCTTTCAACGACCGACGGGTATCCGCGCCCTCGCGGTCGGGATTCTGGGCGCGATCCCGCGGATGGGCGGTCGCACGGATGTGCGTTCCGCGCGGGGCAGCCGCGAAGAAACACCCCGTGTCCGCGGGGTCGAGGCCCAGGAGCCCAGCCCGCGAGGCCGCGGGTACGGATATGCCGTTCGCCCAAGAACCTCGAGGAGCACCGTGGCCGACAGGCTGTCCCCGAGCAGCCACGGCTGCCCGCCGCTGCACCTGGGGAGACCACACGAGCGACGAGACGCAAGCGGTCTCACGAGAAACTGCAGAGTGACCTCACGACTACGAGGTGTGGCCGACGCAGGCCACCAACGCGGCACGCCGCGCCGTGGAAGACAGATCGCTCAACGCGCGACCTTGCGCGGGAAGCGTACGCCCGTTCTTCGGCGTCGCCAAAAGTCACCTCCGCCTGAGCACCCTGGCCAATCGCAGCAGAGGCTCGGGGGCGGGTCGAGGAGCGGGAGGTCGGCCGGCGAAGACGTGCCATCCCGACATACTAAGTGTTCCTGGGGACCCCTCGGAAGGACACAGCGGGGACAGGGGGTGAGAGCGCGGGCAGGTTTGCACCTCCGCGCTTTTGCTCCAGAGCATCGTGGCCGCCCAGAGCAGATATCAGAGGCCTCCTAGATGGGGTCGGAGCAGATGGGGTCAGAGGATCGCGCCGCATCGCCGATACATCGGCGATGCATCGGCGATGCCCCAGCGATGCAGCGTCGACGTCGGCGATGCATCGGCGACGTCGACATGAAGCAAATCGGGCTGCACATCGAGCCGCATCGGCGATGCATCGGCGATGTGGCGCGATCCTCCGACCCGATCTACTCCGATCCCCATCTAGGAGGCCTCGAATGTAGCCGGCCTCGGGCCGAGACTGTGAGACTCTTCTACTGCTTTGATTCTACTTCCGTGAGAACCCTCGGGCGAAACAAGATCAGGGAAAATAACGCCCACGCCGCTAACTGCTGCTGGGGCCCCTCCCAGGGCGCGTCCGGCCCAAAACTTTGAGGCGAACCCAGCCGTGGCGACGAAGGCCTCCCTGGCGACCCAACAATTGGCCGCGCGCAGCGGGGGGGAGGGGGGAAGGCTTCTCAGAAGGGGGCTGCTTCTTCGAAGACGCCGGCCCTGCATCTACAGGCAAGGCCTGCGCCTTCTGAGAAGAAGCCTCCCTCTAAGAAGCATTCCCCCCTCCCCCTACCAACTTCTGCGCGTGGCCGAAGGAAGGCGCCGACGAGCAGAAAAAGAAGCACCGACATAAACATAAAGCTTTGGCGCTCCGCGCAGATTTCTTGAACTGCGCTGGACCCCCCTCCCTGGCGCGCGGAGCGCGCCAGTGGCGGCTCCGGAGGCGCCGCCGGGGGGGCCCATACGCCGATCCAAGAAATGTGCGCGGAGCGCCAAAAGTTTCTGATGTATGCCCTTTTTCTTCTTTGAGTCGAGGCGAGAGGGTACAAATGAGGCCAGACCACAAAAAACCTTCCACAAGAAACCCAACCGTGAGACCCCAGGACGTCCATTGGTTCTTGGTGTGGGATCGTCGCGCCTTCCACAGCAAAACCATCGAAACCCAAGAAACCCAGCACACCCTGGAGGCAAACGGGGTATTTCTTGGCATGGGCCTCCAAGTAGCGGCATCGTCGTCGCCGTCCTCCTCGTCCTCGTCCTCGTCGTCGTCGTCGTCGTCGTCGTCGTCGTCCTCGTCGTCGTCGTCGTTCTCGTCGTCATCGTTCTCGTCGTCGTCCTCGTCGTCGTCACCGTCCTCCTCGTCCTCGTCCTCGTCCTCGTCGTCCTCGTCCTCGTCGTCGTCGTCGTTCTCGTCGTCGTCCTCGTCGTCGTCGCCGTCCTCCTCGTCCTCGTCCTCGTCCTCGTCGTCGTCGTCCTCGTCGTCGTCGTCCTCGTCGTCGTCGTTGTCGTCTTCGTCGTCGTCGTCGTCGTCGTCGTCCTCGTCCTCGTTGTCCTCGTCGTCGTCGTCGTCCTCGACCTCGTCGTCGTCCTCCTCGTCGTCGTCGTCGTCCTCTGGGCACCAGTCCTCGAGGCGCTGCACCAGCCCCGGGCTCCCCGCGCCGGGCGCCAGCACCTCCAGCGGCCCGCCGGTGCTCTGCACCTCGCCGGAGCCGGCGCAGAGCAGCGCCGCGAGCAGCGGCGTGTGCTCGTCGAGCAGGCCGGCGGCGGCGACCTCCGATCTGCCAAAAAAAACAGGACCCCCTCGCGCTGTGGAGCAATCACGGCGGGAGGCTTTTCGCCATCTTCGGCCTCTGGGGGCCCTCGCCTGGCCTCGGGACCGTCCAAAAACGACTCAGGATGAAGAGCCGGTCCCGGGGAAGGGGTCCAGACCTCGGGGGTCGACCCCTGACCCTTTGGAAAGCAACCTACAGCAGGAGCTCGACCACAAGAAACCTTCCACAAGAAACCCAACCCTGAGACCCCAGGACGTACATCGATTTTGGGTGTGGGAGCGTCACGCATTCCATAGCAGAACCCAGGGCACCCTGGAGGCAAGCTGGGTGTTTCTTAGCATGGGCTTCCACTGGAAATTTGGAGGGCCAAAAACATTAGGGATGGGGGGTCTTTTCCTGCAATTGTATCAGACCAAACCGTCTGAAGTAATGATCCCGGATGCGAAGACGGGGACCTCAGCGAGGCCACGTCTTCATCGTGCTACGAGGGGTAGGGGCTCGTTTCCTCTCGATGGACCTCCTCCTCCTCGCCGAGCCTCGCCAGCCCGACCTGCGCGACGTGCCGCGGCGAGGAGGCGTCGGTGCGCAGCTCGAAGAGAACGCGGTTCAGCGCGGCCGGCGTCAGCCCCCGCCGCCCCACGCCGCAGCAGCCCGGGAACGCGCCCGAGAGCTGCAGGCAGCTCATGGAATCGTTCAGGAGCACGGGCGAGCCGCTGTCGGTGCGGCACGTGTGCCTGCTGCGGGCGTGTCCCTCCGGAGATCCGGCGTGCCAAAAAGATTGAGACATCGCCAGAAAATCAAGGCCAGAGCCATGGACACAACCCTTCTGCGCCCTTTTTCGAGCCGCACTGCTCTGCGATGGCCCTAGGGACCGAAAACATGCGAAAACGCGCCCGGCTCACAAAGATCTAGACTTAGGCCAGGCATGTCCTCCTACAGGCGGGTTCTGGAAGAAACGTTAACAATAGTCAGACGTACTCCAAGATAAACAGAAGGGCACGAGAACCCCCCTGATATGTTCCTACTCTTGAATACCCCTCCTGTAGAGTGACATGGCCCGACTTGAATCTAAGCGCCAGGATCTCAGGGGCAGGCAGGCACGCCTGCCGCGGCAGTCGCCCAGCACCCGCAGCGCACCGCCGCACGCGCCCCAGCAGCAGCCCCCCCGCGGCCGCGTCAGCAGCGGCGCCCGCTCGCCAGGCTCGCCCAGCAGGTTACGGGCGTGGCAGCAGCGCTCGTCCGCGTGGACGGGCCTTCCCGAGCGGCGAAAACGTCCCCAAAGGATCCAACGCATTGAGCAAATCAAAGACGGAAGTTTGTCGCTGTTTTCGGCCTCTAGGGGCCCTCGCCGGCTCCCAAGACTGTCAAAAAACGACTCAGACTGAAAAACTGGTCCTCGAAAATGGTTCGAGACTTCCGGGGACCCCGTATATAAAAAATCACGACATCGGATCTCTGGGAGTGGCGAAAACGTCCGCATCCGCACCATCGCTGGACGCGATCCTGCGGATGCGCGGCCGCACGAATACGTTCCGCGCAGGGGGCAGCCGCGAACAAAAACGCCCCATATCCGCGGGGTCGCGGCCCAGGGGCCCAGCACGCGAGGCCGCGGAAACCCAGACCCCCGACGTCATGATTTGTTCATAAAGTCCGCCCCGAAGTCCCCGAGACCGGCTCCTCAGCCCCAGTCCGTTTTTGACGGTCCCGAGGCCGGGTAAGCGCCCCGGGAGGCCGAAACCAGCCAAAAGCCTCCCGCCGTGACTTGTTCATGACCCGAGGGGCGAGGCCGTGGACTCTTGAGATCCAGCAACGCAGCGACAACTGCAACCACGAAACCTCACGACCAGAGCCTCGGAACCCCTCTTTCTGCTGCATTTTTCGAGCCAGGTCGATCTGTGACTGTCCCAAAGGCCCGACACTGGGCGAAGACGTCCGAAACGGGCGAAAGCGCCCGAAACGCCCAGTATGAAAAAATCGCAGCGCCCAGATCTCAGGGGACGGCGGCGCCGAGCAAGACGCGAGGCCGCGGATGCCCTGGCCTTCCAGGAGGGCTAATACATAGCACCAAGACTTTGTTTCGAAACTCCACTCGAGGCCCGAAGCAACCCAGACAGGTCCCATGGCCATCCAGGAGGACCAAAACATAGCACCAGGACTTTTGCTTCGAAACTCTCCACTCGAGGCCCGAAGCAGCCCAGACACGTCTCCAGGTCTGGAGGGCCCTTCGCCGAGCTCTCTGGAAGGTAAACCCATGGGTGTGCTTTTCGCCCACGGCGGGGGCCGCTCTGGTAGGCTCTTTGCCGAGCTCTCTGGAAGGTCAGGGCACGGGCATGTTCGGAGGCAACGACTGGGAGGTCTTCGTCGGAAGGGTTCACGAGGATGAAGCCCCATTGTGGAGCTGCTACGCCAGATTTAGCCGCGGACTAGGCGGGATTCGGCCGCAGACTCAGCGGGATCAGGCTGGATCCAGCGGGAAGAAGCCGGATTCAGCCAGCTCTCGGACCAGGGCAAAGTCAGAACTTGACCTCCCAAATTAACGTTTTCTTAATCGGCGTTTCGACATTGAGAGGAAGAGGGAGGGGGGAAATTCTGGCTCCGGACCTGTTTAGCGCGACTGTTTCGAACCGTGCGTCCTCTGGGGGGAGACTCCAACTGCCTGAAACGGGCGCCAACAACAGCAAAGATCTACTCCATGGGGGGGAGGGCAAGGGGGAGATTCGATGGCCCGCGCCGATCGGCAAAACTTGAGCAGGGACCGACCGCCCCGGCATTCGTAGAGGCCTACCACGACATGTCCTTAGAACCCAAGCATCGTCTAAGAACAAAAGCACTGTTCTTAGAACATACGCCCGAGATGCTTGAACAAGATAACATCTCGGCCAGAACGGCTCTGAGAACATCTCGCGCAGACCACACAGAAGACTCTCAGGACATCCTCTGTGGGCAAGCCGGGACGCTGCGCCACTGCCTGCACCAGAACTGCTGTGCTGCTTTGTGCGCCCATCGGGTCGGGCGAAAGGGGGGGATAGCAAAGGGGGGGGTGGGTGAGAATCAGCTCACGCAGCTGACTTTCCCGGCGCCGCCCGGCGCCGGAGGCGGCTGCGTCTCGGGGACTGGGCCCCTCGGTGAGGCCGAAACCAGCTGCATACAGCAAATCTCGTAACCCCCACTTTCCCAATCCCCCCCCTTTCGCCCGGCCCGAACCCGAACTGCTGTGCTGCTTCGTGCGCCCCGCGGGGGCCGCCGCTCGTGCAGGGCCCTCGGCGCCGCGACCCGCCGGGGCCGCGCCAGGCTCGCCTGACTACCTACCAAACCACCCCAACCCAACCCGAAGACCCGACTTTGACCCGAATTTCGGGTTGGGGGGGGTACTGGTTCCACGTGTTTTTTCGATGTTCCCCGACCCCCCCCCCACTGGAAATGGAGGGCAGATTGAGGCCTTCGGGTTGGGTTGGGGTGGTTTGGTGGGTGGTGATCGCCTGGCCCGAGGCCGCGAGGCCCGAGGGCCCCTCGCGGCCGGCGCCCGGCAGCGCGCGCGGCGTGCGCCAGGTGCGGCTGGCCGTGGAGACCGCCATCGTCCCCGCCGGGCGCGGCGGGGGCGGGGCCCTGGGATCCCAGACCCCCTCGGGCTGCGAGCAACTCGCGACGGCAGGCTTCTCTCTCTCTCTCTCTCTCTCTTTCTCTCTTTCTCTCTTTCTCTCTTTCTCTCTCTCTCTCTCTCTCTCTCTCTCTCTTTCTCTCTCTCTCTCTCTCTCTCTCTCTTTTTTCTTTTTTTTGTTTTCTCTCTCTCTCTCTCTCTCTCTCTTTCTCTCCATGTTCGGCCTGCGGGGGCCCGCAGCGGGCCTCGGGCTTGTCAGACGAACGAGTCGGGACGACAGACCGGTCCCGGGGAGGGGGTCCAGACCTCTGGGGGTCGACGTTTCAGAGAAAATACGATGCAATCCAAGGAACTCGCTGTCATTCATCGAAATGCCCCACAACCCTTAGGGGTTACTGGGGATCCGACGGAAAGCCTGGGAATACCCAGGGGCCAATGCGACTCCGCGCGCCGAGCCCGTTCGCAACCCGCCCCCCCGCCTGAGGCCCCCCCCCCCAGTGGATCCTTCGGACTACGAAGGAAGTCTTCCGAATCCTCCAGACTACTGGGGAGGATGTCCTGGGTATTCCGATGAACCGACGGAATCCACAGGGATCCTGAGGACCCCAAAGAATCCGATGGGCTTCCGATACTATAGGGAGTACTCAGACTCATTAGGACTCAATCGGGATCCTTACAAGTTTAAAGGAATGCTCAGTTGTCCGTACGCTGAGCCCGTTCGTCGCACCCCAAGGAACCCAAAGAAATGCGGAGAAATCATTCGGAAGTCCAAATGGTCCTCAGGCTGTCCTTAGATGTCTGATGGACCCAAAGAGTCTTCAAGGATCCTGAAAATTCTCAGGAATACTTAGGACGCTAAGGCATCATCAGGAACCAAGGGAATCCCTATTAACCCTAAGGCTTTCCGAATAGCTCATGGGACCACCTAGAATCCTTCGGAATTACGTGAACAATAAGAAGGAACTCATGGGAATTCTCCGAAGGTAATGCGAATCCGTACGCCGAGCCCGTGCGGCCCACCCTAAGGAATCTTTCAGAATGCTAGGGAGTCCTCGGTAACTCTGTAGTTGCTTCTGGAATTTCTTACGTATTCGTCCGATGGACTTAGGGAAATCTCAGGGATCCTGATGATTCCCCAGATTCGAAACAAATCCTTGGAATTCCAATGGGATGCAAAGGAATCCCTCGGATGTTCTGGTAATCCGAAGGGGTTCGCAGCAAGTCTAAGAAATTACTCATGCCTGAGGAGCTCCTCCCCCTCCTCCTCCTCTTCCCTCCTCCTCCTCCTCCTCCTCCTCCTCCTCCTCCTCCTCCTCCTCCCCCTCCTCCTCCTCCTCCTCCTCCTCCTCGTGAAAGGAAGGAGCGCCAGTGGCAGCAGCAGGCGAAGATGCAGATGAGGACGAGGCCAAAGAACAATCGGAGACAGTGATGAACGAGAACGGGTGTGAGGGAGAGGAGGGGATGATGAGAAGGAGAAGGGGGAGGAAGAAGCAACGGCCCCAGCACTGCTCTAGGGAGCCTTCGGATGGACTCAGGCGGGCCCCGGGGCTCTAAGATCCTCAACGTTTTGTTATGGAGGAGCATTTGCAGCTGGAGGGTGGAACGCCAGACGCCAATGAACACAACGACACAACAACAACAACAACAACAACAACAACAACAACAACAACAACAACAACAGCAACAACAACAACAACAACAACAATTACTAGCACGTGGGGACACTCCGTTCTCACCAGTGCCAGGGTTTTCATACGACGCCCGCCAATACCCCCACTTTGTGGGGGGGCCGGTTCAAGCTCTACCACATTTCCAAACGACTCTTCGCCACCACCCACACCCAGCTTCCCGCCCTATGACGTTCGGACACTTCACTTCGTGGCCTGCGGACGACCGTGGCTACTACACTGGCGCATGGGTACAGTGACTTGTTGTGGTAACATTTTCTGGACGCTAGCTTAGTATACGACTTTTCCCCCTGTTCCAACACTGGACACCTGTACTGGTTTTTGGTGGTAACGTGTTCCTGACGCTAGAATAGGAAACCGAATGTGTCCCGCATGGTATTATTTGACAGGGATGATGGCCCTGGCAGGTGCGCAACCGTTGTTGGAGAAGTTCGAAGCACGTGAAAAAGTTGCTCGCAAAAGCCCGTGTGACAGAAATGTTTAAAAAGTGTTGGGTTTCCTACAAATCCGCAAGAGCGCGCGGGATGAAATGTTGACACACTTTTTTTGAAAAACCATTGGTTTTTTTGATGTTTTTATGTTAAATTCGCTACGAACGCTAAGGTTTTGGAAGGATTTCGTCTTGCGCGCGCGAATGTCCACTTTACCTTATTTTTTGCAAGGGATTCTTGAAGTTTGGTTATGTTTGAACAAGAAATGTCCACTTTGCCTTATTTTTTGCAAAGGGAAAACCGCCCGTAACAAAACAACCGAATCCGGACCAACCCGTTTTGCCAGAGACTTCCTCACGAAAATGATGAAAACATGGCTGCGGCCTAGGCGCGGCGAGGGGGCCGTGCACCAGGGGTCCCAACAATAATTATTCTTTAGAAGTAATAATGTTCAACAACAACAACAACAACATCAACATCAACAACAACAACAACAACAACAACAACAACAACCACAACCACAACCACAACCACAACAACAACACCAACAACAAATGAACAAGCCGAGGCCAACCTGGGCAGTGATCCTGACATGTATGTCTTGTTCGTTTAGGTGTTCGCTGTTTACTGCGACTCCTGATTGAGGGCTGCTGGAGCGCAGCTGATACCTCAAGGGGCATCCAGCGCAAAGCTGGAGAAACGAAATCGCCCAGGCCTGCATCGACGCTGGCGTTTCCTCCTCCTCCTCCTCCTCCTCCATCCGCCTCCTCTTCCTCTTCCTCCTCCTCTTCCTCTTCCTCCTCCTCCCCATCCCTGCCGCCTCCTCCGCCTTGTCATCTCCTACGTCCAACCCTCCCCCACCACATGTTCCTCACCACCATTTTCCTCCTCCTCCTCCTCCTCCTCCTCCTTCTTGATCCTCCTCCTCCTCCTCCTCTTCCTCCTCCTCCTCCTCCTCCTCCTCCTCCTCCCCCATCGCCTCCTCCTCCCTGCGGCTCCCCTCCCCCGCCTCCCCCATCCCTGCCGTTGTCCTCCCCTCCTTCACCTGCTCCCCCTGCCGTCCTTGATGTCGCGCCCGATGGCCCCCCTGTCGCGCAGCTGCCGGAAGGGCGCCAGGCAGTCGTCGTGAAAGCGGAGCAGGGCCACCCTGCGGCGGGGGCCCGAGGGCTCCAGGGGGCGTCGGGAGACGACGACGGCGGCGGTGACAACGGTAAGGACGACGACAACGATGACGACGACGACGACGACGGCGAAGACGACGACGACGTTGGTGGCGGCGACAGCGGCGAGGACGACTGCAGAGGCGACGACAACGACGACGACGACGACGACGACGACGACGGCGGCGAAGACGACGAACACGTTGGCGGCGGCCACGAAGACGAAGGCGAATACGAGGACGACGAAGGCGACGGAGGCGGCGAATGAGGGAGGAAGGAGGATCGTATCGACTCGGCAGGATCGGACGTCGAGAACCTCAGCGCCGTCTGGCCCCCCTTTTGTTGTATGGGGCCACAAAGAGTTACAGCAGTACTTGTGTCCGCCCTGCTTGGCGGAGAGCTTCTGAATATTAATCCCTCCTTTCCCCCTTGTCTATGATCCCCCCATCCCTCTCTTCCCCCTGGAGGGAGGACTGGGACGGGGGGGGGAGGAAGAGGTGGAGAAGGGAGAAACGGCCTTGCAGGCCTTTAGAGGACTAGGCGGGGCTAGATTCGTAAAGAAAGCAGAGGATCATCCGCCAAGAGCGAGGGATCGATCTTTCGATGATGCCTCGACCACGAGGCCTGGCCTAGAACTTTTTTTGCACCGAGGATATCCGCAGGATGTCTCAATGAATGCTGCAAGTATAGAGTCTTGTCGTAGCGTTCAGCGCCCCCGCGCTGGTCTAGAACGACCGGGGAAGCGCAGCCGCATCCGTTATACTATACAGTGTTGCGCCTAGCTGCTGAACCTCCCCCCCATCTTCCCGTCTCGAACGGCTGGAGCCTTGGAGCGGATCTGAGTGTGGCCTGCACGCCTAGCCTTGGCGCGCTCGGCTTTGTCTGCCCCCTCAAGTGCGACCACCGCCGAAGCGCTCAATGGCTCGACCGTCGACGCCAGCGGTGCGTCACAACACCTGGTCCTCCGCTTGTCGCACAAGCGTCGCAAAAGCATCCACCTGCACGACAACTGAGTATTGCGTGCGCGGCACCTTCCATCGCCGAACGCGTATGCACGCATCGGGCTCCGCATCTGGTGCTTGGTGCGTTCATGCTGCTCTTTGGCTTTCTCGTTGCAGAACGTCGCCTCACACTGCGAGCACGCATACAACTGGACAACGGGCTCGCAGGACGCAACATAATCAAGCACCGAATATGTGAAAAACAATGCATCGACCGCCTGCTCCCACTTCGGGGAGGCAATGGCCCTGCACCAACTCTGCCAATCCTTGACAGGGTCATTCATATCATACAACACGCGCTCTCTCAGCAGGCGCATGTCACGCAGTATTTGCGCAGTCCAGGGCATGCACTGTCCTTTCGCACTTTTCTGCGCTAGCAGTGCTAGCAGAACAGGGGGCCCATGAGCGAGTAAACACTTTAGATATTTCAGCCTCTTCCTTACAACTATACAGTCAAGGCTCGGGATAGAAAACTTCCGCCGGAACTCTAAATCGATGATGTCCTTGCCGTACCTCGGGGCATTGAAAATCCTCCGGTGCAGTCTCATGTACACGCCATTCAAACACCTCAGGAAGGCTGGGGATGGGACGCGTACGCATACATTATATAATAAGCGGCTTAGCACCAGTGCGAGGCCGAGCGCGAGCTTCGAATGCACCGAGGCTCGAGGACAACCACCTGGCCTAGAACGAGCCAAATCCGCAACGATGCCGTAGGCACTAAGTGGGGCGTCCTCATGTCCCCGCGGATTCTGCGTACTGA